GGAGTGTGGAGTGTAAAGTGTGGAGTGTAAAGTGTGGAGTGTGGAGTGTGGAGTGTAAAGTGTGGAGTGAGGAGTGTAAAGTGCTAAGTGTAAAGTGTGGAGTGTAAAGTGCAGAGTGTGGAGTGAGGAGTGTAAAGTGTAAAGTGTGGAGTGTGGAGTGTAAAGTGTAGAGTGTAGAGTGTGGAGTGTGGAGTGGAAAGTGTAGAGTGTGGAGTGTGGAGTGTAAAGTGTAGAGTGTGGAGTGTGGAGTGTGGAGTGTAGAGTGTGGAGTGTGGAGTGTAAAGTGTAAAGTGTGGAGTGTGGAGTGTGGAGTGTAAAGTGCAAATTGTGGAATTGTGGAGTGTGGAGTGTAAAGTGTAGTGTGGAGGGTGGATCTTCCCCCATAGACACGGCGACGCCACAGGAAAACCAGAGCCTCGAGACGAGACACGTGGGCGCAGAAAAACGAGCATTTCGTTCGAGAATTCCTGCAATTTTGACATTTTCGACACCTTAGCAATCAGGTTGGAATGTCACAGAGTGCCACGCCTGCCATGCAAAACGACATGACAACCTGCATAGACACGGCGAGGCCACAGGAAAACCAGAGACTCGACGCAGCAAAACGAGCATTTCGTGCGAGACTTCCGCTAAGTTTGACACTTTCGACACGTTATCAAACAGGTTGGAATGTCACAAAGTGCCACGCCTGCCAGGCAAAACAGCATGAATAACTGCTTGGAAACCTTCGAAACGGAGATGTTTTGCAGCTTCCCCCATAGACGCGGCGAGGCCACAGGAAAACCAGAGACTCGAGACGAGACATGTGGGAGCAGCAAAACGAGCACTTCGTGCGAGACTTCCTCCAATTTTGACACTTTGTAGCCTCAAAATCGACGTTTTCCTACGAGTTTTTTCTTCGGAACCTCGAAATTTGCAACCTCAAAATCGATGTTTCGTGCGAGGCTTCCGTCAATTTTCAGCACATCGCACAAAACGCCACGCCTGCCACGGAATTTGCACCTTGTCGCCACTTGACGCAGCCCTGCCAATGCGATTTACAAAAAACACGCAACACGACACGTCTAAAGTGCTGCGCCTGCCACGCAAAACGACGATGGACACGTCGAAAGTGCTGCGCCTGCCACGAAAACTGCAACGCATCTTCGGAAAACGTCGCAAAAGTATTGCACCTGCCACACAAAACGACCTTTGACGTCTGAATGTCACGAAGTGCTACGCCTGCCACGCGAAACGAAGCAACGCGACGTTTGAAACCTTGAAGAGGCACCCCTTCTGCGGAACTTACCATAGGCCATATAGCAATCGCGCGGACGGTTGTGGACGGTTGCGAACGGTTGCGGACGTAAATGCAACGTCGAGCGAATACACCCTCAACCCCGTGAAACGGGAATCCTTGCTGCGCATTCGGGAAAAAACTCGTGTTCCATTGTTTATCGTTGCACATGATTGGAATTGCATTGCCAATCCAGGATTGAGAAGGATCAAATATCCCAGTCCCCTCTTTTATTGGGTGATTTCGAGCGTTGGATCTGAAATACATCCGTAACGGATCCGAAGGTTGCTGCGCAGCGGAAGACTTGGACGATGAATCGGATGAAATGCAATGTCTGGAGATGGCCTGTGCGCCCAAAGGAAGTCGAGTGCACCTCGTTGCTGAAGGTGAAACATGGGTGAAACATCACATGGTGAAACATCACATGGTGAAACATCACATGGTGAAACATGGAAGCATCATGAATCTGTGGCCTCAATATTAAGGGAAAAACATTGGAAAACACCACACTTTTCTGATTGATCATTGATCAATCATTGATCATCATTTTCCCCATGATTTTCAAAGAAACCGATTTTCAGGGTCTGGGCATTTTTCGGCCACCTTTCTGCCAGGCTTGAAGGATCAAATGGACGGCCCTATCATAGTGGGGTGGAAGACCATCTGGCCTGACCCTTATGAAACGTGCCCCCAACGGCACAAGAACTTCGTGAAAGTCCCAGTGAGTCCAGTCCAGGGACGTGAAGGTGTCCTGAAGTCCTGCGACCGCAAGGTGACGAGATCTCTCGGATCGGTTTTTCACAGGGTCAGAAAAACCATGGAACTTTGCGTTGAGGCTGACTTTGAATTGCCGTGCCCTGCTGGAAAGGTGATGTATAGGATGATCAAAGGTTCGCATATTGCTGGCAATGAGTTTTCCTGTCCTGCGGGACTCAAGAGCAACTTACCAGGTGATCCTGAGAACGATTCCAGGTGCAAATGCGACTGAGGGCTGCTCTTAGCCTTAAGCAGACCGCTTGCTCCAAGACTGCGCAGCAATCATCGTGAAAATATGGCAATCTTTCCGTTGCAAAGGATCCTGAAGTTGAAACTGCCACCTGCCACATGTTTCATGTGAGAGATAGGAATTACCAAAGTCACTTGTTCTGCTATAGTGTTTAATCAATTCAGAAGTGAACCCAGGGTGATTTATTGAATTTCTTGTTCCCTCAGGGGCAACCATTTCCGTGCCACATTGATGACCGCTTCTCCGGCCAGGTTCTTGATGGAAAGGTTTCGACCTTTGTTTGTGATGTGTCTGGCTAAAATGCTCATCAGGTAGGATCATTGCGAACCAAATCCGATTGTTTCTAAATTCTCATTTTCACAATAGTCATTCCATGTTCTATGTTCTAAGTGGACATATAAGAGATGTTGCCTTTTGTAGTTTTGTTTTCATGCGTCGTTCATTTTGCTTTTGCTTCGCTTCTTGCACTTGCTATGATCCGCATGCAGTTCTCTGGTCTCAGGCATGGCAGTTGGATTCTGGACAGCTGAAACAACGCAGTGGAGGCCTTTGCACAACTAAACTCACCAAATCGAGAGATGTGAATCTCATGCAACCACAGAAGGAATGTCCATGGGACAAATTCGAGGTTGACTTTTGTGAGCTGCAACCATGCATGATGCAGATGCGCAATGTTGGCTTGAAATCCTCCGGTCTGACAGCCGGGCGATAGGCTTCATGCAGAGTGACTGCGTGACTCCTGCAGATGGCAGCCTCGAGGTGCAGATGTTGCGCAGCTTTTGTAAAACGTCCCAATGTGAGCAGTGACAATAGCAGTGACATTCTGACACCGAAGCCCAGTTGTTGATTTGCCACAGACATTGTCATTTTCCGGAAGCCAACACTTGAAGTCTTGGGGAACTCTAGCTTGTATATTAATGAATTGTCAGCGTGTGCTTTGCGCTTGCAATGCTGTTTCCGGACAGCCAAGGCCGGATCTGGTAATTTTTCCCTGGGACTGCGCAGCATGATACATGCACCAGCGAGTTGGGTCAATCGATGACGCATCCAGGTGCGGCGGTGTAGTGGGGCTTCATGGCTTCAGGACCTCCCTGTGACTTTGCTTCACAGCTGCTCGCAGTGATTGGGACGCGCCCTGGGCGAGTCCCAAACTCTCAGATTTTAGCCCTGTGCATCAAGTGTCCTAGGACGACGTGCTTGAGCCGATAGAGTCCAATCTGTACAAGAAGGCCAGATGTGATTGGGGCATTTGCATTGAGAAATATTGAGATGTGAACTGCAAAGAACAAATATCATCGTTGCCTACAACCATTGGTCTCATTTGTCCTTTTCACGTCCTTAAATTGAGTCACATTCAAGACAGGTTTCAGGTCGTCTCAGTGTGACCCAATCCCACTGAGGCTCTGGCTGAACTTCAGCTATGATAAAAAAGCGGCTGTTGCTGATTCCTGAACCAAGGAACATCCAAGAATTTATCTTGAGTGTGATTGCCCTCCCGTAGTCGGATTTTCCTTTATTGCCTTTTTTTGAAGCGAAGTTACATGAAGTTACATGGTTTGCTGTTGCAAACATGCAGTATGATTTCTGAAACTGTATTATACAGTATTCATTTAAAAACAAATAACAATTGCATTTTCTGTTGAACAGAAATTGAATCAATCTGAGCATATTCTTGGACCTTTGCGCAATTTGGGCTCACAAACGATTCCAGCAGAGCTACGCTGCGACATGTTCCATAAAAAGGGGGAGCCTTGACGTCAGGCCGATTATGTTTCCTGATGACATCTGATGACCATCTCAGGCCTTAAATTTCAAAGTTGAGCGGCTGAATTGTAGTTTCTGTAATTTTCTTGAATCACCTAAGACTCTGATGACATCACCACGGTTTGGTTTCCGACATTCCAGTGATTCCAGTGCTTCGAGGCCATTTGGTCACCAAGGATATCGGCTGTTTGAATGTGTAGCCATATCCCAAGGCAATAAGCATGGTTTCGTCGAAAACTGCACCATGCCATCGGCGCAATGAAGTCATCTTGCTGGTGGGAGTTTTGCTGGTGGGCCAAGCACTGTAGACACAGCAAAACCGGAAGCTTTTTGGGACGGTGTTGGAAAGAGTTGAGCAAGTGACAAATCGATTGCACCATGAGGATTAGAAGGATAAATATGACAACAAGGCTTGATCATGTCTAAGAATGATTTGAAATGCAGGCTTTTTGACATTGCACGGTTTCACGATCTCTCTTTCGATTTGACACGTTAGCTTGTTTGAAAGTAGACTGTGAGGTGCGGCTGGGGGCTGTTCACCAATTGTGGAGGGCTGAGCTTTTCAACAAGCTGTTGATGGTTTGCAGAAGTGGACACCGCATGCCGCATGCTGAGAATCTTTAGATGATGTACCGCTTTAGATCTCGGAGAATTTCGATTATGATGCAAATTACATGTGTACCCCACGAGAAACACTTTGGACTCTTTGGTGACCCAAAGGACCCCTGACCTGTGCAAAAGTAATTCACTTACCTTGATATCAATGTTAGGGCCTAACTGTTAGGGTCCCGCTCTACATCTTGACTTTTCCCTTCTTTTTCCAACCTTTCGCCAAAAACAACCTGCATGGTATGCGCAAGTTGTGACTGGATCGCTATTTGTGCTGAGAGGCCTGAATCGCCCTTGATTCGCATCCCATTGACTCGTCGTTTGTTTAGTCCTTTGTTTGATCCGATGTGCCGGATGTCCCGCTGTACGCTCCTTGTTTTGTGCCACTTGGCCCACCTGGCCCACGTGGCTGCCATGCGGGAATTGTATGATGTGGTTACCATGGACGACACCATGGTGTGCGAGTGCAAAGAGGTGAACTCCGTGACGGATTGCCCGGACTACAAGATCAAGAAAGACGGCTTCCCGCCCGGCTTCCCTCGTTACTATCATGAGAAGGCGGGACATCTTACAAGCTCTGACAGACTCTGACAATCTACAAACTTAAAATTTCGGCAGCGAACTTCAACATTTCCATGGCATTGGGTGCCCGAGAAGTTTTGGGCTACCAGGCTACCATTCATGTTAACCCATCGTTGACATTGAGGATCCTAGTATCGAAGAGTCTGCGTTTGGGAGAGCCATGGCTGACTTTGATAATCTCCAAATGAGCCCCAAAAATCCAAGGTGATCCTGTGAAGGTGTGTGGGCTCGTAGCATGCCTAGGCGAAAGCTAAAACCACAGTCACCAAAGGTTTCCCATGTCACCAGCCTGCTTGGAGAGGTTCAATCCGAGACGGAGTGGGCCACTTGGCTGGTTGAAATTCATGAGTAATTCTTCAGTTGCTTAAAATTGGAAACTGGTTGGCTTTGAACATATTTGGTAATCCTCAACCTGCTTCCGGTAGGTTTCAAATACTGCATTCTGGGTGGCGCATTCTCAATTTTCAATCATTAAAATGGGATGATGATTCCAAGTGGTTGCAGTTTACAGTTGAAATCACCAAATAGATGGATCAAGAAACTGTTTGAGGGGAGGATTGCCTCCTTTCACAAGGCCCTGCCCAGGTAAACTTGTGCTGCCGTATGGCTCCAAAGAAGAAAAAAGACTCCTGGAGCTTCAAACCTTGGAAAAGCTCTTATGTTGCCCAGAACAACAAGGACTCGCATGTTGCCATGATATTTTTTCATGACTGCAAGAGGTGCATCCGCGCCCCCAAAAAGGAGATGACCATTCAGTCGACCTATGTCGACCTATGGAATCGCCAATTCATCACAGCGCCTAGATGGCTTTGAAATGGTTTGAATTTGGTAATTTGGCCATGAGATCATGAGATCATGAGATCATGAGATCATGAGCGTCCCTAAATTTCTTCCATCGTTTTACATCATTTTCGTTTCATTTTCTCTGAAAGATGGCACCAAAGGAGCGATGCTTGGAAGAAACACGACCGCTGCAGACACGCGGTTGTTGCAGCCTGGTGGGCTCCACCGAGCGCCCCGGTGAAGGCTGGTATGACTGCGATAATCCATGGTAAAGCCATGGTAAATATCCATGGTAAATCTATGGTAAATCCACGAAATCCATGGTGAATACGAGAATCACTTAGCTACTTAGCTACTCTTAGCGCTACTCTTAGCTGCTTAGCCGAATATTCTGCTGGATTCTGATCATTTCTGAATGTGCTGAATGTGATCCGCACTGAGGGTCTACGGGGGCGCGTTCCAACTTTTCCTGAGATCTGCAAAAGTCTATAGCATGGCCCACCCGAAGATGTTACCAAGCGGAAACCCGACCTGGAAGGCTCGATCAGTGATCAGTGAATGCATCGCCCACCACGGTGGCACACGAGCAAACCAAAACTACTTAAAAACATCAACAAAAGCCATGCATAACCCCACCATAGCCATAAGATGCCATAAATTGCCATAAGTACAAACAATCAAAGATATCAAAGGGAAAAATGGAATTTCTGTGGCTCCCATGATCAGCACATCCCAACAGCCCTGTGCCATCCTGTGCCTGCGCACGGCGCACGGCGCACGGCGCACGGCGCACGGCGCACGGCGCATGGAGGACTACGAGAAAAAGTCCAAGGTCTTCATGGAGCCCGAGGGCATTTATTTCGCCAAAATTGCTGGTGGGAAAACCATTCTGCCCAAGGAACTCCTGCCAGAGATGGAAGGCATCAAGAAGCTCATGAAAAAAGACGGAGATCTCCAGTGTGAAGAGGATTTGGCACAAGTTGCTTGTTCACTACCTTTTCGCCGTTGCAAGGTGTTTCAACAGTTTCAACCTCTGTTTTTATTCTGAGATATTCTGAGGGTTCGCGCTTTTAGCCATGCCTCAAGCACAAAAGGTACAGTCTTTACAGGCGCATCACGGCACAGCACGCTTTCCGAAGTCTTGACACACGGTTTCTAATCAAAGAATGTGTTCTGTCATCATGATCCATGCCACTGCGGCCACCCGTTCGATGACTAAGAGTCATCATAGGAATCATTCGCAATCATAGGTATCTTTGAGAGTGAGCAGCTGCAAATTGCCAATGGTCAAGAACGCAAATGCATGTAATTTTCCGCCCCAGTGCCAGTATCATCAAAACATAATGTCACAGCATGCCGCACTTCAGCATGAGAAAAGCATACAAAACCTTGTTACGCAACGTTCAACTACGGCAATGCTTTTCCAACAGCACAAAACGCCGAAAGCAGTAGTTCTAGCATGTTGTAAAGGGAATTCGGAAGCGCGACAAGGCAACAACCTGAAGAACGCATGGCACTGCAACGTGTTTTTTTTGCTTTTTCAGAATGCACAACAGACCTTCCATTTTCCTGTGGCACAGCGACATGCATTGCATTTTTTTGGAGAAACATGCGAAGATAACACGTTTCAGACGAAGCCAGAGGCGACGAATTGAATTGCTCAGTACACTCCGTATTCCTACCTTGTCAGGAAAGCAGGTTTTAGTTGAAAAAATGTGTATGAAAAAACAGTGATGAAAACATATCACCTGTTTTGTTTGCTGTCAAAAATTGGCAATTCATCTGCTGGGCATCACCACGACCTGTCATTGGTCTGAGGCTATCTCAGGGGGTAGTGGCTACTGCCGAGTCCATATGAAGGAACCGCTCTGCTGCTTGGGCTGGCTCCGATTGAAGAGACAGTTTTCCAACGGAAATAGATTGATATTTGATGATATTTGACTGGGACGGATTGAAAACACGATGCAGCCCACGAACCCGAATGCTCACGCGTATGTTAATGGTACAGACATCGAAACACATGGATATGCAGTCACGCAGAACACTTTTCTGCAATAGTTTATTTGAACAGTCTTGTACATATTTCCCCTGTTACCAGTCTGCAGTGTGGAGTGGAAAGTGTAGAGTGTGGAGTGTGGAGTGAGGAGTGTGATGTGTGTAGAGTGTAGGTGTGGAGTGTAAAGTAAGGAGTGTGGAGTGTAAAAAAGTGGAGTGGGGAGTGTAGAGTGTGTAAAGTGTAGGGTGTGGTGTGTGGAGTGTGGAGTGTGCAGTGGATAAAGTGTGGAGTGTGGAGTCTAGGGTGTGGAGTGGAAAGTGTAAAGTGTAGAGTGTAAAGTGTAGAGTGTGGAGTGTGGAGTGTAAAGTGTAGAGTGTGGAGTGTGGAGTGTGGAGTGTAGAGTGTGGAGTGTGGAGTGAGGAGTGTAAAGTGCAAAGTGTGGAGTGTGGAGTGGAAAGTGTAGAGTGTGGAGTGCGGAGTGTGGAGTGTAAAGTGAGGAGTGTGGAGTGTAAAATGTGGAGTGTAAAGTGTGGAGTGAGGAGTGTGGAGTTTGTAAAGTGTAGGGTGTGGATTGTAGAGTGTGGAGTGTGGAGTGCAGAGTGTAAAGTGTGGAGTGTAAAGTGTAGAGTGTGGAGTGCGGAGTGTGGAGTGTAAAGTGTAGAGTGTGGAGTGTGGAGTGGAAAGTGTAGAGTGTGGAGTGTGGAGTGTGGAGTGCTGAGTGTAAAGTGAGGAGTGTGGAGTGTAAAGTGTGGAGTGAGGAGTGTGTAAAGTGTAGAGTGTGGAGTGTAGAGTGTAAAGTGTAAAGTGTGGAGTGTGGAGTGTAAAGTGTAAATTGTGGCATTGTGGAGTGTGGAGTGTAAAGTGTAGTGTGGAGGGTGGATCTTCCCTCATAGAGACGGCGACGCCACAGGAAAACAGAGCCTCGAGACGAGACACGTGGGCGCAGGAAAACGAGCATTTCGTGCGAGAATTCCACTAATTTTGACATTTTCGACACGTTAGCAAACAGGTTGGAATGTCACAGAGTGCCATGCCTGCCACGCAAAACGACATGACAACCTGCTTGGAAACCTTCGAGAAGGATATGTTTTGCAGCTTTCCCCATAGACACGGCGAGGCCACAGGAAAACCAGAGACTCGAGACGAGACACGTGGGCGCAGCAAAACGAGCATTTCGTGCGAGACTTCCGCTAAGTTTGACACTGTCGACACGTTATCAAACAGGTTGGAATGTCACAAAGTGCCACGCCTGCCACGCAAAGCAACATGACAAACTGCTTGGAAACCCGCAGGAAAACCAGAGACTCGAGACGAGACACGTGGGAGCAGCAAAACGAGCATTTCGTGCGAGACTTCCTCCAATTTTGACACTTTGCACGCCTGCCACGGAATCCGCACCTTGTCGCCAACGCATCCCTGCCAATGCGATTCGCAAAAACACGCAACTCGACACGTCTAAAGTGCTGCGCCTGCGACGCAAAATGACGATGGACACGTCGAAAGTGTTTTGCTGCCACGAAAACTGCAACGCATCTTCCGAAAACGTCGCAAAAGTATTGCACCTGCCACACAAAACGACTTTCGACGTCTGAATGTCACGAAGTGCTACGCCTGCCACGCGAACGAAGCAACGCGCGCGACGTTTGAAACCTCGAAAAACCACCCTCTGCAGAACTTACCATAGGCACGGCCATATAGCAATCAAGCGGACGGTTGCGGACGGTTACGAACGGTTGCGGACGTAAACGGAACGTCGAGCGAACACTCCCTCAACCCCCAGACCCCCAGAGTGAAACGGGAACCCTTGCTACGCATTCGGGAAAAAACTCATGTTCCATTGTTTATCGTTGCACATGATTGGAATTGCATTGCCAATCCAGGATTGAGAAAGATAAAATATCCCAGTCCCCCTTTTATTGGGTGATTTCGAGCGTTGGATCCGAAATACATCCGTAACGGATCCGAAGGTTGCTGCGCAGCGGAAGACTTGGACATGGATGAAATGCAATGTCTGGAGATGGCCTGTGCGCCCAATGAAAGTCGAGTGCACCTCGTTGCTGACCTGAAGCCGAAACGGGGATGGGGCCTTGAGTATGACGACATAGTGGGGTGGGATACCATCTGGTTACCTGACCCTTATGAAAAATGCCCCCAACGGCACGAGAACTTCGTGAAAGTCCCAACGAGGGGGAATATTCTGTCCTGCGACCGCAACGAGACGAAATATACAGGAGGAGTGCTCTTTAAAGAACCCATCGAACTTTGCGTTGAGGCTGACTTTGAATTTGGGTGCCCTGCTGGAAAGGTGATGTATAGGAGGGTCAAAGGTTGGCATATTTTGTACAATGAGTTTTCCTGTCCTGCGGGACTCAAGAGCAACTTACCAGGTGATCCTGAGAACGATTCCAGGTGCAAATGCGACTGAGGGCTGCTCTTAGCCTTAAGCAGACCGCTTGCTCCAAGACTGCGCAGCAATCATCGTGAAAATATGGCAATCTTTCCGTTGCAAAGGATCCTGAAGTTGAAACTGCCGCCTGCCACATGTTTCATGTGAGAGATAGGAATTACCAGGGCATACAATAATATATGTACCCGCTCCCCGGTCCCGTAGCCCCCCCAATGGTATGGTCCCCTACTCCCTGACCTAGAATCTTTCATTTCCATGGCATTTACAGCATTTTGGATACAAAACTTCAAATTTCCATGGTATTTGCACCAGTTTGGAAGGAGAA